CAATCATTTCGCGGAAATCACTCACTTTTATATTCTCAGCCACAGGTGATTTTTGTCTGAAAACTAAACAATATACTCCTGAGATAATCCCCTGTTTATACAGAAAGGAAAGCTGAACCTTTATTTGAGCCCCTTGAGTTAATTGAAAATGTAACGTTACCCTCCAGAACGCCTAAAGACGCCGTAAATAATAAATTAAACCTATCGGAAAGAGAACATGTAATTGTACCAAATATTTTTTTTCTAACGTCTCATCTACCGAATCGGTACCTTATGTCCACGAAGTTGGGTAAGCAAAGACCACGTTTCTGTAAAATTAGAGATAGCAGAACGGGACTGGCCCTGAAAGTAATTTCTCTTGGCTGCCCGAACAAACGCATTTGCGAAATTACGAGCGCAGCGAAATTCAGTCTTTAATTGCGTACGTCGGGGAGAACGCCTGAATTTCTTCCTTAGTTACTCTGTTTTGGATGGCACGTAAGATGCCAGAATTCAGCCAAACGTATTACTCGCCATGTTTTCTGATTTTGATAGTCTTGTTGGAGTGATTCGTAAAAAAACTTAAAATTTGTTGAAAAGTATAGTACACGTCGTTATAGAGTTAGAATCAGGTCTTGCCAATAAAAAACGAAAACCACTTCGTCAAATATATATATTTTTTTTATCTACGATTTCAATTTGCCTTCTTGTTTTAGCTGCTAGGTTAATAAAGTTTTCGGACGCAACCTGACAAGCTATGAAATATAGATCCGCTTTCATTTGTGATTTACTGCTGAAGTAATGATCGAATTTGACGTACGTTAGTGAATATGATACACGAAAGACGTGATGATTTGATCACCCAAAAGTCCTTCTCGTCTTGGCGAGTAAATAATGCTTTTGATTCTGTCACTCCAGTCGAACCGGAACTTTTTAGGAATCTATAATGAAATCCCCAACTAGGCAAACTATCTCGACAGACGAAAATCCAAGTAGCATTGTCCTTCGCTCGTGAGGAAAAAGATCTAGATTTGTCAAAAGGATACTATAAAGCGCCAAATCTGACCAGCAGCAGTGTGCGTTCCAAATTTTTAAGGAAGGTAACTCAGAGTTAGAAAACTCAATGTCAGTAACATTGCGCAACCCCTTGTTTCTCACCAGAAGTCCTATACCTCCTGACCCTTCATGCTTGCTAAAGAAGCTGGTGTAACCACACAACTAATATTGTTCGCTCAAGTTATAATAGATGTTAATATCTGTTAAACCTGAAACATAAAAATTACTGGTTCAGTAGAGAATATACATCAACCTTTAATGACATTGTATTAAATGAATCGACAACTAATGTAATTTCGCTCAGCGGGAGACGTGACGTTTTGCAATGCTTCTATGCCTTAGGCACTACTGTATCAGCCTTTTCTCTCTAATTAGGGATAATAGTTTTTATTTCCACACTGACATTTCTCTTAATCGTGATGTTGCAAATATTGTCGACACGTCTCTAACTGTTATTGTTTTCGAAACACGTATATTAAGCAATTAAAAAAAAATCCGCAGCTTTTAAATATTATTTCGCTCTCATTTGCGAAGCCGTCTTGAGTTTTCTTCTGTTTTATATAACAGCATTGGAGAGACTAAGTCTTCTACAATTGAGCGAGTTCAAACAAAATGTATACGTGTCTTTTATTCTAGTTACCTACATTTCGGGGTGTTTATGATTATCAAAGAATATGTAAACTGATTCGCTTGCACATCTTGTGTAGTTGACGGATGTTGCGTCATTTCATGCTTTTGCATAAGGTTGTAAGTGGTGTTGTTAGTTGCACAGCCCTACTGAACTGTGTAGATTTAGGTATTCCTCAAATGTCTAGCTGTGTACGCTCATTGTTTTATCCTTCGGTTTTACATAACACCGTTCCCATTACAAGTTTTCAACTGTTGTTTAAGCAATTCGATTCAAACCTAGATAAATTTGATATTGCTATTTCTGGATGCGAACATTCAGGAAGCGCACTGAGATCTTCATTTAGTTATGAAATATCAACGTTTGTTTTTGGGATGTGGATGTTCATAATTTTGACGCATTGCATCACTAAAGAGGCGTGTAGTTGTTTGTGTGGCACTGAGAATAAACCAAACGAATGAAAGTTCTATAATACAGGGACTGCAGTATTTAAGGAGTGTTTGTTTACATTTGTTTAAAACAGAATAAACGTTCGTTTTTAACAGGGTTGAGCCTATTCGTTATTATTTCCATGCTAAATTCAGCTAAAAAGTCCCGTGACGTCAGGTTCAGTTCCGTCAGCTTCGTAGCTAAATATAGCCCGGAAACTGAATGGGTGTAAAGGCAACGTGAAGATAGGTCACGTGATGTCAATTTCCACGCTTAATTCAGCGGAGAGGTATACGGACGGAACAACGATCGCAAGGACGAATTGACGGAGACTTTTTGGGGATCAGGGGGTTTTGTTAAAGAAGCATTGCATATTTTAACACCTCCATTCAGAGGGCGCAAGGTTATTGCATGCGTCAGGCGAACTACACGCGCAGAAAAGAATCTTCTCGGCCAGGTAGAATTGGCGGATCTAAGCGGTTAGTTTCGTCACGCCGCCGCTGCCGGCATGGATCTTGAGAACTGTAGTTTTTCTGCCCGCGTGACAAACTCCCTGGAGCTCTGCTGGAGCTGAGCATGACGCGACACGGGGCATCCCGTTCATGCAATGGCACCTGCCCCTTGTGAACTACAGTTATAGCGGCGCCACGCAGGCGTAGAACGTTTATGCTGAATTGGTGCTCTAATCGCAACCCCGAGGCAGATCCGCTCGTTTTCATCAAATGCGCGGGAAACTGCACGGAATCTTTAATCAACCACGTTCGCAACCGCTTCGCCAATGCGGTCCACCTGCCAGTGTGAATGAGGCATCAGGGAGACCGGTCTATTGTATACGTCCGCGAAATAGCCGACCGGATGTCCCTTTTTTCGCAATGCCAACGTGGAGCCAGTGGCGTCACGAGGTTCAACGGCACCCGGGGCGGTAGCCCGCCTCGACACCGCCCCCCCCCTCCCCCTCTCTTGCGTGGCCCACCGCGCCCCACTCTCGCGTGGCCCGCCGCGACTCCCCCCCCTCCCCGCTCTCGTGGCCCGCCGCCACACCCCTTTGAGCCCTGCATTCGGGGCGGTCCGCCGCCCCTCCCCCTCCCCCCCGCCCCCTTGTGACGCCACTGCGTGGAGCACACAGACATCCGCGACACAACGACTGCGAGCAGGATGGTAATATTAACTAAAAAAGAACACTAAAGCCCCCCGCGTACACTCATGATCAAAAGAAATACGAACAACGGAGCGCGCACCACCCCGAACCTGAAAAACTTTCAAGCGGAAAAGGGTGATACTTCTCCGCAAAGATTATTACCGGTGTTTGCACAGTCTTCCGTAAACTTGACTATACGTGTCCCGGAACTCGCTTTATTCATAGTAGGTTCAGCCATGAATTGCTGCGCTTCGTAAACAAAGCACCATCAGTGATGACCTCGTTTTCTTGCACTCCATTTTGACCATTTTACATTTTACATATTGAACATTTTCACTTGGAGTGCGGAGTTACCTTACTGCGTGTGATTTCTTTCACATAACCAAAGCCGTGCTTTAGTGCAGCATAATGATTGCATCGATGCACACAGGCCACAGTGCCAAAGGTTTATTGGAGAATGACTCCCCTTCGGTAAACCGTTTCACTCTACGTTTGACCGCGGCCGACGCATGTAATCCGATGGGGCCGAACAACCAGTACCAAAAGTGCACCGTAAGGGCGCACATCGTCTTTGTGCACTTGATATCATGGTCCAATTTGGGAGGGGGGGGGGGGGCCGGGCCCCATGACCCCCCCCCCCCCCCCCTTTGGCTACATGCCTGGTTCAAACCAATCACAGACGGTCAATGCGCCGCCATCCCGCGCTTTTTAGGTGCGCGATTACTCTAGCCATTGAGGGCAAACCGTCGAGCACTACGAGCGCCGTGCTTTTCACTTTTGGCGCCGCTTTATTTCTTTAGTTATATCGTGGCATCGGCTTCGGTCGGAATTGAAGCGCAATGTAGTTTCGTTGCTTCAGTCGAATGAGTAAGCAGAATCTCTCAAGGCGTACGAAACTCCTGAGACTGCGCGACCTGGCGCTGCGGTGCCGCAAATACCTTCGAAGGCTCCACGTCAATATTCCTGCCAGCCACTTAAGAGCACAGCGTGAAGGCAGTGCCGAATCAGATATGTAAACTCTCACGCGATGAATAAAATGCATAAACCGTCACTTGATTTCAATAAGTGCCGAGTTCTTTCGGCGGCACCCTCTTACGGTTTCCGTTCGCCACGTCAAAGCCAGGATTCGCCTCGATGTGATTGGCAGCCTTTGCTTTTTCGTGAACAGGCGATTGGGCAGGCATGATCAGCTATGGTTTGGGCAATCGCGAATGCCGACCACATCGGCGCTTTTGGTCGCGCACGTCGCTCATACCACCCACATTTTTCGATATGAGGCGCGCTATATAAATATAAATGGAGTGGTTGCCGCTCCGTTTTCGTGTTTATGTTTCCTGTGACTGTACGTGTTGTCATAAACTTCACGGATGTGCATTTTTACTTGCCCTATAATGTACTTTTGAAGGCCACTTCGGTAAGCAGAGAAAAGCAGTTAACTTTTGATTTTCAACTATGACCTTTCAATAGGAAAAACACCAAACACATTGCATGTTCATAAAAAAAAAAAAAAAAAAAGTTTCGGGCGTTTTTAATCTTTAAGTGAAGCATAAACAACGTTTCGAAACCGAACAATAGAAGCACTTGTCTTTTTCTCTTTTTTTCTTTCGAGGAAGTAACATGTGGTGTGTAAATATCGCGTAAAAAATATATTTGTCCCTGCTCTGAAAACAAATGGAGGAGAAGACCTGATATACGATTCAGACGAACGTTGAACATTATTCCGTTTCGCTTATGACCGCAAGTCTCTTTGATTTTGTTCAAGACAACGCAATGCTTTCGGTTGCCTTCTTCGTGTTTCTAACAGCGGCTCTTCTAGTCCCTTCAAGTAAGTTTATGAGAAAATCGTGATTGAAAATAGATATTTTATAAAATAACGCCGCGTGTGAATTTTCTTACTTAGCTCGTACCATAATTCGTAGATATCTGAGGCGCATATTTGTTTAAATATGACACAATAACAAATTGCGTTAAAGATATACTACTGATGTATTGTATTTTGTCTTTTTATTGAACCAGATCATTTGGTGCATTTTTATTTTTTCATACAGTTTCCCAAACCTATTATTAATAAATCAAATCAGCCTGCATTTCAATGGCATTTTTTTAGAAACGGAGTAGGTACTTCGCTCTACATGTGACTGATGTTTCGAATCGCAGATGACCTTACGATGTACACCTTCCTACAATATGAAAGTCCCACTAGAGAATGCATTTCAAGGTGAATAGGCCGAATTCGCTTTGAAAAAGGCAACATTTCTTAGTTCGAAAAAACAGATTCAACTTTCTTTGTTAGCCTCATATATAATTATATGTTTCTTACAAGTGTGGACTTAACAACAACGCTTAAACTGATTAGGCGAAGAGATCTTTCATATTGCAAGTAACTTTACTTCGTTTAATTTTAAGCCAGAGCGAAGCCGATGCTAATAGCCCTATACTCCGATTCAAGCAGCGTCAAAACACAACGTCGTCTTTCGGTGTGCATGTTATCATTAGCTTAGCCAATCAAGCCCAGGCGTGTGATGTGACCTTACACCTTTATTTTATCATATTTCGCTTGTCTTGTATGACTTCTAGCATTTGACTACAATCCGACTTATAATAAAATGACGTATAGATATATTCAATTTTTTTATTTATTCATTTCGAGTAACCTCGAAAGGCCTCATTGGTACAGTAAGCACGAAAGAATGATGGGTGAAACTTCGTAATTAATAAGCAGGTATCTCAAAGCAATAAATTTTAATGAGCTCGTTTTTTTACTCTCATTACGGCTAGTTTATTCTGCAGACGTATGAAGATTTCAAGAAAAACGGCACTTTAATTACCTTCTTTTGGTAAAGCATTTGCTCCTTTTTGCACTCCTGGAGTGTGAAGAATCAGCGGGCAAAAGTCCCTTCTTCATACAAAGACGATAGCCCGAAAATACATGACTTCCTCTGAACTCTAGTTTTAGATCTAATTAATGTAGATTCCCCCACCCTGGAGTTCGCAAGTAAAACTTAGTGCTCGGAGTTTTCAGCAAAAGCTTCCAGCACTGCTTTGACAACATCATTGTCAAATGCCACTCCGCCCCGCCCCTCCCCTTTTCCCCGGAAACACCTTTTGTGGCCACCATGTAATCGTTCACATATGTAAAAAACCTAAGAGCACACTTGCCGTCCAAGTATTGTTTCATAGCTCGATCGCACATTGCCAAAGATATATCACAAAGTACGGGGGCTACAGTATAGCCTATGAATCTTTTTTTTTCCTTTTGTTCAGAGTAACCACTTTCAAACCGAAATACCGTCGAATGAAAATACAGCTTGAACACTTCCATGAATACTTCAACGGACGTACATTTTGCGTTCTGACACTGAAGCACTTCATCTGTCTTGACACAGTGACGTATCGAAGCAAATAAACGCTAACCGGGAACGGAATAAAAAACTTCCTCAATGTAGATATTAAAAAAAAAAAACACCTCCGAGTTTGTTTATTACCTATCTCTAAGGAACTCCACAACAGCTTGCGAGTTCTACACAAGAGACTGGTGGAATAATTAAAACGTTCCCAACTGTTTCTGAAGAAACCACACTCGAAAAAAAGCTCCTGAGTCTGCTTTCCCGCACAACACTTGGAGAGCCAATCACCGCAACTTACGGAGGCAGCTCTGCAAATGATATTGCCGAAACATATGTTTAGACGAAAAATGCAGTCTGAGTTGTGGCATTAAGCAATGCAAGCGTGACGTTTTGCATTGCTTAATGTCACAACTCAGATTGCGTTCTTCGGTCTAAACATATGTTTCGGCATTGTCATTCGTTGAGCTGCCTTTGTAAGTTGCGGTGATTGGCTCTCCGAGGTTTCGTGCGTGAAAGTAGACGCACAAACATATTTTACAGTGCAGCTAAGCAGTGTTTGCCAAGCGCCCACCTTATAACAATGGTCGTAAATAAATGGCCCAGCTTGAGTGTTTTTACAGCAAAGAAGGCATCTAGGAGATTGTTCTTGCTCTTCCTTGCGCCCTTCTCCACTCCAAGTTAGCCAGCGCCAGACCATCACACAACTTCAGTGCAGCAGTCTTAACCTTCTTCGGATCGAACGAAATTAGTTTAAAGTTCTTAAGAATGGCTGCGATAGACTTAGACTTAAACATGTCCCGTGGTAGCCTGGCAAAAAACATCCCCTCTTCTTGTCTACCTTTAAGAAGCCAAGCTCGTTCTTTTTATTTTTGGGTGAATGAAAAAAACCCTTTCCAACGTCCTCCGCGCCTTGCGTTGACGACGTATTAGTGTTTTTGTCACAACGTAACAAACAGTCAACACACTGTAAAACATATTCGTTCCTTTCTTTTGTATCAGACCTATCTTAAACCTAGCGCAGCACAGCTAACTGTTCACGCGGTTTCAAATGTGGTTTGACACTGTACTTGCCTTTTGCGAGAGTTCTAAAGACATATCCTGAAAGCTGGACGCCCCGCTTAGCACTTGCGATCGGGTCTGCTTAGGCATCCCACTTCTAACTCATTGCGAAATAAGTTCTGTCAGTCTTTTCAGCAGATGCTGACATTTTCGATGTTTTCGGAGTCCCTCTGGTAAAGAGCCGCCCCCCATATACAACATTTTCATATAGTCGTGCAGTATACGCACCGGCCTCCAGTTCCTCAGGAGATCCGAACGCATTTTCAGCATCCTAAGGACTTCTTTGGCATGACCCCTGGAAAGCTGCATGCAAATACTCTCAACCTAGATTGGCAGCAGCGATCAAAAGCGGGAGGTCATCTACCCCTGCACTGCGGAACTTGTTTGTGTCATCCTTTTTCTTACAACATCACGATCATTGAAAGATGAGCTGATAAGACACAGGAAATGATTAGATGCGTGTGAAATAAATAACCAGTGCGAAAACAACTGCGAAACCCAAACTTCAATTTACTTACACAAAGAGAAATAAGACAACCTTTATGGACATGTGTTTGCACAATACTGATATGGTGGTTTGCTGTGTTTTTTTGTTTTTTTTGTAGATAAATACTTATTTGTCAGTTTCTCACTCGTGGTGTGTGCTTCTTCTCTCCCTTCTCCGTTGCGCTGTGCGCTAGTTCATACACTGCCTACACACGAACACCACTCGCCCACATCACCACTTTCATTCGACGCGTATAAATCGACCTTGCACCGACTGCGAGAAGGAAGGCAATGTTAAATAAAAAAAGCTAGAACGCCCCACATACATGGAACAGTTAATTTAGCTGTTCGCCACGCCGTCTGTGGCGCCGCAAACTATACTCTGTTTCACTCCAAGGGCCCTAAACTCGTCAAACGCAAGGTTGGGCCGAAGTTCACGGAGCGCACAGATTAAAAAATTCCGACGATGATTTTCTGTTTTTTTCGCCGGCGTCCAATTGGCGAGCTCCGCTAACTTTCGGCTCCAACTTTGTGTTTGACGAGTTTAGGGTTTAGGACTAAAAGAGTCAACATTAGAAAGACTTGGAGCACGTGAGAAGTTCGGTGGAGCGCTAAGGTTCCCGCCCGTGTGCGGCAGCAAGGCTACCGTTACGACAAAGCGCCCGCGTGGTTTATCCGTCTGTTGCCCGCGTTTTAACGGCCATGCATTGTACCTGTTTAACATGTGGTAAATTTAGAGCACTACTGCGCTTCCCTCGCGTTTAAGCTATTTCTAAAATGACATATTAAGTGGTTATCGATGACGCTCAGCAGTTTTTAATTGAAATCATTTGTCTATTTTCGTTAATTAAATCGTTACTTTTTAATTATCCTACTCAAAACTATGAGTAGGATAATCTATGTCCCCCCGGCCGCATAACTCTCCTGCCCAAACGCATTGGTGTATCTTTCACGGCTTTTCCTAAACAAATCTGTTCAAGACCGACCTACAGAATCTTCTTCTACGGAGCAGAAAACCGCTTTCCCAGTTTTCATCTCCTCATTTCTTCTCACAGCCTTTTATCTTCCTCTCCCCGCTGAAGCGGGCCTCTAAGCCACCCTCACAGGAAGGAGGAGGGTTTCCTTCTTTTTCACAGATAGAGAGAATTGAGGGAGAGTTTCCTCTTTTCTGCTCGTTGGTCTTCCTTCGAACTTAAGAAACAGCCTTTTTTTTAGAGAACGTTTAGATTTAATTCAAACATATCTGTTAAAACAAGACGCGAAAGCGTTATTAATGCTGAATTGCTTTGTACCGTTAAAATTAAAAACCTGCTGAGCTTTGTTAAAAATCACTGAAGTAGCGTATGAAGCACCTAGAAATGCCAGGAGTGCCCCGAAATTACCAGTTGTTCAATAGGAGCAACGCAGGCGAGGCGAAAACACAAATTACAAATTCATTCTCGATTTGTGTTATCCATCGTATCGACATGCATATTATATACCTTGTGGACTGGAGTAGGGTAGGGTGGTTCCAGTTTCGTTTAGGTAGGCTAACATATGTTCGCTGTTTCATTAAATATGGACGAGTGGTCACCACACAAACAATTGCTGATAGTTGTATAAATATTCATATAATTTTGGTACGAATTATAAATTAAGCGATACCAAACATTATATTCCTTACAGGTGCAGGAATCTGCGAAGGAGATGATTATGAAACTGATGACCGGTACAAAGACCTTTGTAAATCTGGTAAGAACATTTAGACATATTAAATTTTTAAAAATAAATCAAATGTCTCACCCCTAGGACAGCGGCGTTCCGAATTTAACTCTCTTAAGTTTTAACTCAGAAGATTCGAGCTATGCTTATTCTATCAAATTTAGAAAAAAATCCTTCCGACATTAACAATTGCATAATCTGCCGATTTCTTACTCAACGTTAGAAAGATGTTTGAACTGAAAATTCTCATTTGTATGAGAAATTTCTTGTGTCCAATAAACACATATGAATCATACAAGATATATAAGAACATATAAGAACATATAAGAACCGCATAAGAACCATATAAGAACTATATAAGAACTATATAAGATATATGAGAACACACAAGCACCATATGAGAAACTAGTGGGAACTTTCTTATAAGTTTCTTATGGGGTTCTTATATATCTTATATAATTCTTATATAGTTCTCATATAATACTTATATGGTTCTTATATGTTCTTGTATGTTCTTATATATCTTGTATGATTCATATGTGTTTATTGGACACAAGAAATTTCTCATACAAATGACTTTTTTTACTAGGGAGTAGAGCCGTTATTACAGGACGTTTCGAGAAGTCTCTTCCCGAAACGTCGTGTAATAAAGCCCCTACTCCTGTTCAAACATTTTTCTACGTTTGCGACTTTCTTGATGAAGACTTGTTCATTAATACCGTTGATTTCCGACTTCTGAGACCTGCTGAGGAAGATGTAAAATTTCGCATCTGTTATTCAGTGTTTTCTCTTCTTCTTAGGTTTATTGCACACCGACTCAGATGTTATGCGCTAGATATGTGAAATAATTAGGGGCAAAATATTATTTTGATGACCAACGCTGAATGTGTATATGTGGAACACCCTTGTGTAAAAAAATGGATGTTCTGAGAAAAAAAATTTACCTTTCTAGTTGGCACTATTGACGTGGGAATATACATAATGGTGGATACAGCCTACGGGAAACTGCTTAAAAATAAGCATTCGGACGTCATATCGTACATCAAAGTACTCGTCAACAACGTACGTATATCACAATTGATTTGCACAGAGCTATAGAACTCAATTTTCAGCTAAGGAGTAGATAAGTAGAAGTGTTAAAATCGGTTTGCTTTTTGCAATTGCCTCAACTATTTTGATAAAAAAAAACTAGTAGGTGTAAATTGAGTATGCTTCTCAAATACAAAACTAGCAGATGAGTTGAGTGTAGAGCAAATGAATGCACACTGACAACCTCATACATATTCAAAATAAAATATCCAAAAACCTCTGGTTTTGTTCTGCCTTATTGTTCAATCCGGGCATGCTTCATAATCGATTCTTTAAAACGTACAACGACAGAGACGGGACGGAAGAAAGGGGACAAACAACCGCTGAACTTACAACTGGAGTTTTAATCGTCAAGGCGAAGCCTATATACAGGATCAAACGAGGGAAACACACAAAGCCAATAACACCCCACTGAAACCAGCACAATTCGTGCATTCTGTGTTGTGAGAGAGGATCAAATTCTTTAGCCGACAGAAGAACCGACGGGATGCTGACACACTCTTCCCCCAAGCGCGCTATAGCCTGTCTCTATAATCGCCCGGTCAAGGCATTAACACTTCTTCCAATGACAGTATTTTTTTTTTTCAATTCCGCATTAGATTAAAATGACAGAGGCTATAGTACGCTTGGGGAAAAAGTAGTATGTCAGCGTCTCGTCAGTTCTTTTGTCGGCTAAAGAATTAGATTTTCTTTCACAACGACAGCATGCACGATGATTGTGTGAGTTTCATCATGTATATAGGCTCCGCATTGACGAATAAAACTTCAGTTGTAAGTTCAGCGGTTGCTTGTCTCCTTTCTTCCGTCACGTCCGTTTCATTGTACGTTTTAAATACTCATGCCTTACCAACACGCCCAAGCTTCCATTCTGAACAATTTTATAATGGACTTGTGGCGGTATTTGTAAAAGAGTTATGATCGTTATCCTGCGTATAAATTTTGAATTACTAAGAAAGCGGACTTCAAAAACTCTTATACCATGAGATATGAAATTAGGAAGTTTAGAATAGTGCATCCAAAAGCTTGGCGTTTTAAAGGAAATAGCGTTGTTGGCACCGCGCGTGCGTAGAACCGAAACAATGTCTTAGGTTTTAGGTGTACACATCATCATTCGAAAAATGCCTGGGAAACCATGGTCTTATCAGCCTTTCGGACTGCTCTCGCACACTTTTGCAAAGCGCCAAATTTACCCGGTGGTCTTGCAAAAATAAAAAAATAAAAACTTTTATCGTTTCCACTCTGGTGAAGAATGAAGACCAGCGAAGTTGTACTATATATGGTGGGAATGAAGTAATGGCCGGCCGCAAGTCAGCAAGCCAGAGTAGAAAGGCTGGAAAGGTTGGCTCCATCTATGAGCGACGGCGGCAATCAGACAACCGGCAAGTCGGTTTTCTGGTTGCCGACGTCGCTCAAAGATGGCGGTAGCTGTCCGGCGTTTTGTGTTGACATTTGTTTGCCCCCGTACACAAGACTGGGGAAGCTAGCCCTTAGCAGCTCCGCTGTAAAGGAATCGCGTTCGTCGATCCGCGTAAAGAACCAACGCATCGCAGGAACCTGGAACTCCGTGAGAATGTGACGCCATCGGCTGGGATAAAACGCGAAACTTTAGGAGCGAAACGTATTCGCAACTCCAACACCCTATAGGTGGCAGGGCGGTAGTTTCAAGATGGCGGAAGAGACGGGGAAAGATTCTCCAGGATATCCCGTGCGCCTGCTCGCTGGCGCTGTTCAGCGCGCAAAAATGATTTGTTTGTCTACAAATGCGAAGCGGTTAGGGAGGGATCATATTACAGGTGACGGAGATGCTGATGCACGTTAGGAAGACGAGCATGCTCTTATTTAAAAGTTGCAGAAACCTCAAAGTGTGAAGCTTTGTGGTGAGCGAGCGCGTTTTAGGCGCCGGTCACGTTACTGTTTGTGGCAGAATATTTTTGAGGGTGATGAAGATATGTTTGCGCTTTGCCTGGCCATTAGTGCTCTAAAAAGAGAGCCGCGAACGGTGATCGCCAAGCTTCGAAGAGCAGCAATACACAGTATTGGTGTCTTCGCGTCACAGCCTCTCAAATCGCTGCTCACCGTCTCGGTTTTAGTGTATTGCAACACATAATCAAACAACTCTATGGTTATTAATTAAAAAGTTTATTACCGCAGGCTACCGTGTGGTTTCGCATTACCACCGCCAGCTCGCGCTGCGCCTTTGAAGCACAATTTTCAGTGTGCGCCAGGAGCGTTGCCGTGCTCATCACTCTTAAAACAAAAACAAACAAAAAAATGTTGTAGTCCTTACAGCCCTTGTCACATATACGGCACTCTGAAACTTCAGTTCGCCGTGCAGCCCACTGACGTCAAACTGACTGCCCCAACTTTTACGAGAGGCTTGATGACGGCGCAATATAATATATGAAACAGCTAAAGTACGCATCAAAGAGTGCCGAAAAACAAAAAAAAAAAAAAAAAAAAACACCGAGGTTTTGCAGTAGGGCCTAGAAAACTCGATTACTTTCTTTTTTTTACACTCATTTACACTTACTTAGGCTCTTTTAATAAGTTGCACAACTCCGCTATTAAGCCGCTCGTGAAAGTTGGTAGCGCCGGTTGAACGTCAGTGCGCTGTACGTCCAACTGAAGTTTAAAGGTGCCCTACGCTATGCAAAAACTGCCTATTAACATAATCGGCGTGTTTAGGGGTTTGGTTTATTGATCTATAAAAAAACATATCTTAATATACCGTACATTTGTTATACCGTGTTATTTGCAACATTGCCGTCCCTCTGGCCAAAACTGCGCGTTCTGAGCTCTCGTCACAAACGGCCGGCTGACACAGACGCGCTTAAAATGCTTTGAGCATTTTTTTTATTTGCTTTGTAATTACCTCAAAGCAAGTACGGGTATTATGTCTTTTTAAAGTGCTTGGAATAAATGGTCATGTTCCTTGTAACGGCCTTAAAACGCGAACCCATTCCCGATTTGCATTGCTCGACATACCGTGGCGCGACGAGTTTGCTCCTACTTATGGCAAAAAATAGACTTTTCATATACCGTAATACAGAATTCTTTATTATTATCGGGAGCGTTTTCCGTCACGTTGAGCACAGATTGAGCTGGGGGCCATGCAGAAGACTAGAAATCCGCAGCGTATGCGAGACACGAAAAGTCCCTAATGAAATTTGACCTCCCGGTCCTTTGTGCAAGGCTGTTGCAAGGCGGAGGACGAGAATTCCTTTTTTAACGCGCCCACTTTTTTCGTTAAAACGGCTTCACGCATCAAGGCCTACAGTCCTTGCCACCGTTTCCGCGCCGCCGCCGCCGCTGCCGTCCCCGCTCCTCTGGTTCTCCGTTCGTCCGCGGGAGGGCGAGCGGCGCGCTGGAGTTGCGAATACTGAATAAAAAATAAAACAGAAAAAAAAATTTGATTACACGTCATCTTAAGCGTAATATCGGGAAAACAAGATCTGACATTACGGACTCATATGACATCTTTATTCGTAATAAATGCTTTGCAAAAAAAAAAAAAAAGTTATGTAGTTTTTTTTGTGCAGTTTATTTTTTTGCAGAAATATATCCCATAACAGCTCACCCACAATGTAATTTCTTGCGTGTATGGTATCATGCTTGAGTGGATGGCGGCTGACAGGAATGTTTCGCCTATCTCTTTTGTCGTTTAATCATGATAACGACAGGTCCTCAAACTTTAGAATCTTACCACAAAATGGCTGATGTCAGATTCTGGCGGAGTGTTACCTTCCTGTGATGCACAGTTTATTTACGCTGGGTGAAAACCGCGGTTCTTTTTTCTCAACCACAGCCGGTGCACTCTATTTCACTTTTATTTATCAAATACTGCAGGCCAAAAGACCGATCTCACCAAGCTTCGGCGCATGCGTGAGGCAGCCTTATAATTTTTGGTTCAGGGGGGGCTGGCAAAAGTACTCGAAACTGCTCGTGCTGCTCCTTGTTCTAGTCGCGCGGAGCTCCAGCGATGTGTCACACGCGCAACGAGACTAAAGATCTCTCAATGTGTTGCGGCAGCGGCGGCGTAGTCAAACTGGCTGGTGAGATCGGTCTACCAGGAGTTAAAAAAAAGACTGTATACAAAAAAAAAGATTTTGAAAGCAAATATAAAGAAAAAAGAAAAGAGTCAATCATACTTACGAAGACAATCATACTTACACCCACAAGTGCACCTAAAAAAAAAAAAGAAATGTTTAGTTTTCAATATAAAATATACTGCGCGAATAATAGAGTGCAATATGATAACAGAAAATGAAATTAATTTTGGGCTGGGATAAATAATTTTCTATTGGAGTCTTACTAATCGCATAGCATCTAGTGGGTCAAAAGAAAGAGGGTAGAAATTCAAAAGCCTGCTTTTTGGCATGAAAATTCGAACATATGGATGACTATTTTGTATCTCCTTCTCTTCGTAAGTTTTTCGCTTTTTCGCTGCGATCTATACGCGGTGCCCAATGCACGTGAGCCTACCCCAGCTCACGCAACGGACGCGAGAAGTGCGTAACTCGGATATACACGCTAGTCAACAGTCAGTTCGGCGACAATGTTTGAATTCGTGTTCGTCGCCAACAAGGGCTGTGACGGTACTCATCATCCGTTGAAAATGACAAGTTTCACGGCGTGCTTAAAAAGAATTACGGAAGCTTGGAGTCACCGTGCCAGTGCCCAAGCACGTCTCTATTGCGTAATTTCTTATTTCTTTTTTGAGTTGAGGAGAAAAGCCAAGGAGAAAGAAGTAGAAAAATTACTTCATGACCCTTTTAATACTTTTCGACAAGGAAATTTGCTTCTATGTCAATTATAACAATATTCAAGAATAAAAAAAAAATACATGCCCACAACGTCGCAACAAACGTCACTCTAAAAATGCTGGAGGATAAACCATATGACTCACTGACGATGCGGGGTGAAAAAAATAGCAACGGCGCGTTTTGAACAACGGCGCGTTCAAAGAAACGGCGCACTCTGAGAAAAAGTGGAGAAAAAACCCAGGGCAACGGTGCGTTTTCCTCCCTTTTACGACCCGCCCCCAAGTTCCAAACGGCGCGTTCTAAACGGTAGCCTAGGTGCATTCTAAGGAAGAAGAATGGCAAACAGGTAGCATTGGCGCGTTCTCCTGCCTTCCACTGACGCGCCGTCAAGCGGACACGAGAAGGGAGGAACCAGAAGTTTTTTCGTCCTCCATACGAAAGGAAAGTTCCTCCCTCCTGGCTCACCTTCTTTCGGTTTAGTATGCCGGGCACGTCGCAGGGGCTGTTTAATATACTCTGCTGAGTTTATTTAGCGTCAGCGGCAGCAAAGGCCGCCTGTAATTCAGCCTTCTAGTTCAAAACGCGGAGGACTATGGTTTTATTTTTGTTTTTACCACCAATTTTATAAAATGAGCAAACGAAGCCGTTAGAGACATCGAAGATCCCGAGCCGTGTCAGCAGTGCTACGCACCCTGGGCTAAGATATCTTTCTCCGCAACTCCTGAACCGCAACGTTTGGGACGACGCTTGCCATCGCCGTAGTGGCAACATTGCGTCTCAGACAGGCACGTTTTCTTCCGTGAACCAGCGTGTCTTTTGTGCTGTACGTTCGGTTCTGATTCCTGCTGCCTATCACCAACGACGATCGCCATGGTTTCGTATTACTGCGTGTCACCAAGATCACCATGACAGTGATGGACGCTGGGAACGACAACTGGAATCATATATATGACGATGTCACAATGTGTTTGGCGTGCCAGTGGTGTTACGTCACGATGAGATAACGTATACCGTAGCAGGTTGACATTCTGCTTTACATTAGAATTTCAAAACCTCGCTTGATCGATTATGTCCAATCGATCAACTAACGGGTTATGTTGGAACGCTGTCTGAACCCAGCTTCAATCGTACGGACCAACGTACCTTTTTGCAATGTGCTGTTCCCTCCTCGAAAGCGATTGCGATCTCGGGGAAGGGCTGAACAGGCTTGATATTTTACAGGAAGTACGTATATGCACAGTTCGGTATAATAGCATTCAACGTGATTAAGCAGAAATAACGATGCGGTGTAAGGAAAATGTGCTTTGTGATATAGCCGGATAGGTTTTAGTCGGTAGTCGGTTTGTCTCCGAGAAGCTGGTTTTTGAACTTGCGAGGACGTAGCAAGCCATATACAAACCATGCAGCAAATTGCGTCTTTGACAGCACTTATGTTGAGCGAAATTCAATTTATCTACCCCTAAGGCAGTGAAGCGTCGCTTCAAGCTGAGTGAATACCTTCTTTAGAGAGGTTAATTCAAGGCGACAATTGTACCGCATACGAACACCGTAAAAAAATACAACGTTAAAAAAACTCTGTCTCTAGTGCATTACAGAATACGCTTCGCGGGGCAGCGCGCGGGGCAGCGAACACGTGGCCGCTAGGACCCGCAGTTTAGCGAGCTGTTTAATCGGCAGTCGCGAATAATTACGGCATGAACGTTTACTTTTTTTAAGAGATTCTTCTCTTCGGCCGATGCAAATGCCTCCTGAGGAAGGACATTCCTGAGAAGATGTCAACATAGTGTCAACATTATGTATTGCTTAATTTCTCAGCGAGAAAATCTGGAGAAAATTCGTACCTTCAAAATGACGAGCAATAAATTAAGAATCGCGGTGCTAAGAGTAAGTAATCGGGGTAGTGAGTGTCCAGGTTTGTCTGTTTCGTGTATATATGCGATTTTCTTTTTTTTTTTTCTTCTTTTTTTGTTTAGCTGATGCTATTGTGTTCTCGCACCCGTAATATATGCACAAGTGTGTATGGTAAATTCCCGAAGAGCAATGGCGCCGAGAGCAAATAAAAACTTTCAATTTGTCGCCTATGAATGCGGCAGTACGTGGCACCGCCCAGCCTAGGTACCTGCAATTATTTTATTTAATACTGCCACCAGGTGGCGAGCGATTTATCCTTATTTCACCCTTCGCGATATATTCTGGTTACCGTGCAAAATTGAGGCAAGTAGGCTGCTTGGGATTCGCTCTCTCATTTGAGGGTAGTTTTTATTTCGCGAATGGATCACCACTTCTTCGTAATGTGCGGTGCTAAAGAAAGAATTTTTTGCTTGAGAAATAGCACAAGTAAGACCTGAAGTGCCCTAAGTTGACGTTTTTGTGCTGTCTCTGTTTAACATCGTATAGTGTTGACAACAAGGGAACTGAGTGACTGGATTCAAAACGCGAGCTTCCTCAGCCGCGCGGGGGCTGACTTCGGCAATAAATGCAGTTCAGGAAAAGCTCGTGTTACGTTTTTATTTTCTGCTCCTCTCGCCCCAAAAGCAGCCTACTGCTTTTCTTGCTATTGTTTTCAGCAGTCACTGCGAGGTCACCAGAAGCCCGAGGCATTCGCCTGTCCAAAAACTATCCCAACTATTTTCGGTTTAACCTCCACAGCGTTTTGTGTAAAGACCGAAAACAAACGCAGCGTCCTCGCTAAGCATTATTAAGCTCAATTCACTCGACTCGGGGCCGCAATAACTAGATGAATACGTGGGAAGGATTTTGCTCCACTGCGTTCAGGGACCAACGTTCCTCCCTTATCGAAGGAACGTAGACTAGAAGTTCGATCTTTAATTGATAGAGGAATATATAAAACCTTTTTTTTTCTAAGAGTGTGGTCTAGCAGCAAGACAAGCAGAGTTGGAAGATGGCGGCACCTAGGAGAGGCGGTCGCCGCATGAGCCAGGGTGGGCGCGAAGTCGGTTGCGTTCTCGTCACTGGAAATTTCAGGTCAGGGCGACAAACAATTTATGCAGCAGATACATTTCATAAACTATTTGGAAGGTTCAACAAGGCGGTAACGATCGCCAGCAACTTGTTGTTGGCGACGTGTAAAGCCTCTCGTGCCGTGGCGACGCGAGCTGACATGACCATTCGAATGCTCTGATCGTATTCTCGAAATTACGCGAATCTAAAATGTTGCTCATGGCCTAGCTTTTTTTTTTTTTATTTAAAGTAATTCGCGTGTCCAAAAAATTGGTTTCTGCACCTTGTTGGCGCTGCAAGCACGGGATTCGTCGCATTCGAATTGCGACGGAGAAACGCTTTTCTAAAACTCTCTTACTTGACATGCGCTGAGGTTAGCGCTGAATTTATCGCTGATGTGGGCTAAGATCGCGCACATTACTTTAAAACTTCCCATTTTCTTCTACGTCTTTCGTTGACAGCGTTCACGGGATACAAACCCCATGTCTATGCGACTTAACGTCATTCAAACTACGATGCCACGCGACAGCGTCGTTTCACATGACGTCACTATACGTTACTTCGTCAAAGAGCATTACGTGTTGTCGTCTGACGCTGTAACGTTAACTTACGTGGCCACCTGATACTGTTGCGTACCGATGTCACGTGACTTGGTTGAGTCAAGTTACGTGGTAACGTACCACTGACGGAAAGTTACGTGGTCACTTGATACTGACATCAAGTACGTGGTGACGAGACACTCTAACATCATGGCGCGTGGTCACATGACAATACGACGTCGAGTTACGTGAAATTGTGACACTATAACCCCAAGTTACGTGGTTATTCTACAATGAGACGCCAAGTTCAGTATTTGCGGAACGTGGCGAGTTCAAGGTACGCGGTTACGTGACATTCTGACGTCAAGTTACACAATCACGTGTCACCACGACGTCATGTGACGTGATCGCGTAATCCATCGTGGATTAGAACACGTGACAACGTGTCCCATAATGACACCACCCATGCAATCGACAAGCGCACGGTTTACCATTTCTTCATTCCAACTCCGCGTGACGTACTTTATTTAGGAACCCGCTCATAAAAGGATCGTGCTTTAAAAGAAAGGTATTAAAATCGCACCTTAGCCCTTCGTTTTATTCCTAGAGCTAGTTACACCGTATGCCTTAAATTTGAAATCTAGTATTCTCAAAGTTTCTTTTTGTTTCAGGTAGAGGCTTATTTCTGGAACTTCAAGTGCCCTGATGTTAAATTTTCTCTTCTTGGAGTAAAGGAGTTAACGGTAAGCGAAGTGAAGGAAAAAAATATAACCGTATTGAATCAGTGTTTGTAATCATTTCGCCGTGGTCTTGATGCTCAGGGAATAACCATGTCTTTTCGATTGGTGCTGTTATTTCTTACTATATTTATTTTATATTGCTACAATCGACTCTGCATGAAACATTCTTGACGCGCGTCACTTTTACATTTTCTCATCAGCATTAATTTTTATAATACGTACCTTTTTTGCACAATGTCAACGTGCAGAAAAGTGTAAACCTTTTTGTTTAAACAAATTCCAGACTGTGGAGGCACGATAAAGACGGCTTTCATTGCTTTATTAAATATAATACCAAAAACGGTCGTAACAAAATAAATTTACTTCCTACGAAACTTTTTTTCCATTAGAAGGAACCATGCGTAATCCCACTAGGTTGCTGCGAATAAGAGTTAAATTTAAAGCGGTCCATATAATATTAAAAATATATCGCTACTTTGAAACTTCATACTTCATACGTGTATCATGACGCGCGCTTTAGAATCTTGGGTCGTGTCGCATATTTAACACAATGGAAATGTTTGGCCTGCGTAATTTTGTAAATTTCTAATATACAATATGAACTCAAATTAAAACAAAACAAAAATATTTTTCTGCAAAACATTATACTTGATCACATGTATGAACGAATTTTTCAATGTCTTACTCTTTTGAAAATACTTTTATTATCCAGTAAACATGAGATATTCTGAGATAAATGTTGATTCAACACCTCGGGTACCGTACTTTGTGACATGATGGATTCTGGTGCTTTAAAATTATGCACACTGTGCTAATTAATTTTAACCCTACATATCCAGCCACCATTATTTTAACAAAAGCTAGTGTTACAATATTTTAACATAATAAGGTGATTTGTATGAGATCTATAAAACAAAACAAAAATTCCACTTACGTGCTAACCATATTTAAATTTCAAGAAGTTTTTTTAATCACGAAATCACGACATCTGTGCAACGATCTGTTTTAGGAAGAGGAAGAACGTTCTTTCAAGAAATACAAGACATTCAAAAACGAGTCAACGAAAAAGCTAGACTCCACTTTTACATTGGCTATGTTTAACCGCTGGGTAAATAAGACAAACCAATGCGAACGCGCTGATGTTGTCTATCTACTAACAAGGTCGGTATGATCAGAATACTTTACGCTAAAGAAACCTTTCATATAATGCAATTATCAGTCTAGTCATGTTTTTGTTATAGTGATCCCATTGGTGATTTTATGGGGGCATACAGACTAGAAATGAAAGGTAAGAAATCATTACATTTATTCAATTCATTTAATACATAATGTTTCAAAACACTCTAAATGTGTGAAGGCGCAGTAACCACTGTGTCAGGTTGATTATCGCCTTCTTTATTCTGTAACGTTCCGAATTGTTGTCGTTAATTGTTTTCTTTATATTAGGTGTAAAAATTATTGTGAACAACAAAAAGTTTAAATGTAATAAACAAAGCCTAACGTGTTAAAAATAAAGAAAAATTAAAATTTAGATGATAATTCCGGTAACCAACGATTATTCATTCATTCAAGGATCTGGAAATTATGCTGAATCATAAGAAAATAGGCATTGAGAAATGCAATCATTGATATTATTTACTTTTAAGAGTGCAACCAGCTCCAAGACTGTTGTGATATTAAAAAGATACACTTGCCCGGATACTTTTGAATACATATATCGAGTAATAATCTACACGGAGCGACAATTGTGGCCCACGTGAATTGCCGTTTGTTTTTATTGGAGTGTGTTTCTCATAACTATAGAGAAATACCTAAACTGTCTAATGTAGAGAAACGCTCTTCTCCGGTACAAAAAACTGCCCGAGCAACGATCGAAAATAAAATTAGAGCGGGTTGGTAATGATTTCATGAGAAGACCCCACGCACAAATTTCTACAGTACTTATATTTTCGACTTCCTCTTCTCCCCTCCGGCCTGCGCTGGGATTTTTAATAACGTTCTAAAAAAAAAATATCGGTTCCCCTTTTTTCAGTTTTCACTCTAAAATGATGAAGCATGGAATTGTTCGGTTCCACGTTATCTCTTCCCGTTCAAAGTCCCGTGGCCACCTAGATGCGTTCAGAATAGCAGCATGGCAAGAACGCTTCTTCGTGGCTGGGTAACGGAACGATATTCAAAAGTTCCACTCTCATTCGTATATAATAGAATCGGGAAGCTCTTATTTTCCCATAAAGAAGCCTTCATGTCTATTTACCATTTCTTATCTGCGTAACTCCGCTAACTGCCTCAACGTCATGGCAGCGCGTTTTGATACGTGCGTTGTTTTCTCGTGGAAGTTTCGCCTCAAAGAACTTTGAAAAAAATTGAACAGCAATAGTGCTCCAAAGGTAGTTTCATCCAACATTCCAACCGGGTTCTCGCTTGCTAAGATCAAGTGGTGTACTCCATCCGTTAAACTGTGGAGATAAGTACATTGGAAATACTGGTAGATGCCTCAACACTCTCCTCTGGGAGCACATCTTTGAAGTAACCAGAGTAGCCAGTGACTCTCTTCACCATGTTGTGGAGCATAAATGCATTTCTTTGAACTATGAGCTGCACTTCTAAGCAACGCGAGTTATCGGGTAAAACAAGGATAGACTTGACAGATAAATAATTAAGTCCTATCGGATGGACGGTGATGTCTTCAACTTTGCCTCGCCTTCATATATGTTATCAAAGAGTGCAGTTGAGTTTCTGGGGCAATAGTTAGTCAGCTCACTTCAATTTTATAATTTTCCATTTTCGTTTCCTATGTTTTATGTTTCTTTCTTTCCTTCGCGTTATTTTTATTGTTTTTTTTTTCTTTAAGAACATTACATTAACGGAAACGTTTCCTTAACAGTTTCTTTATGTGCTTTTAATCATTTTCCTTAATGCGCTTCTTTCTCCCGCGTTTCTTTTTCTTTTTTACAAGGATGTTATTCCTTTTGTTTTTCGAGCGCTTTCGGTTGTTAGGGAAGGGAAGAGCTGACGATTTGAGGGTGACTTCATTAAAAGTATTTTTCTATTTGAAAGAACTGTACTATTTGTTTTCGTCCCTACATGTTTTATTCTTTCTTTTTTTTTTCAAATCAAGAAAACCGCGAGTGTAGTATTAACATTAACAGTTCGCGCGGTGTATAGTTCAGAAGAAAGTACAATAATAAAAATTAATTGCTGACGGAAGCTTTTATTTTTAAGGACAATAAATATAGTCGTGTCATAATCCCTACTGAAAAAAACCATTTGGCGCCTGTATGAAAATAAACGGGTCCATACCGGTAACAGTTTAACCATACCGGTCACCAGTTTTCCAAAAGGGTCGTCCGTATGGCTCAAAAGGGTCCCCCATATGAGCCATAACGGTCGCCTATTTGGTCAAAGAGGTCACTTCTTTGGCAAACGGGTCACTCGTCGGGGTAAATGGGCGACTCGTTTGGGCAAAGTTGTCGCACGTTTGCTCAAACCGGTGAACCTGTTGCACAAGCGGGTGACCGTTGACCGTCAAATTGTACCGGTTTAATCAAACGGCTCTCGGGAGCCCGTTTGATATTGAACGTACAGATCGGCGGCCTGGGCACGCCTAGGTGTTTCAGCCGTGGCAGCCAATGTTTCCGGAAGGCTGGGAGCGCCGGTTCATTGACGCGTAATGCAAGTAATTGTATTTATATTTTAAGTGCGCTGATGTGCGCTTATACTGCAACTAAAACTAACATTTTTTTTTATTTTTTCACGTAAACGCGCGACGTTGGTGAGCCGATATTTTTCACAGAACTTTAAAACTTTGTCCATCTTTTTTTCCTCAATTTCCTTATAGGCCCGTAGCTCTCAAGTTTTGAGAAGCGCTCCAGACGAGCACAATAGAATGAAGCAATGGTGAGGGTGCAGGCTAGCTGGTGTAAATTGAGCATAGCTGTAATCCCCAGTCTCGGGTTTACAACTATGCACAATAGAATATTTGGCTCGCGTTTCGAACGTGCGTCATCACGCTTACCCCACTACAGTTTTTTTATACTCCGTTCCATTCTAAGTGCCAGCGTAGCAGAGGCTACAAGAGCGAGCTCCGAGCTTGCAGTGTCCCTTCCAAGCACGCGCGCCCGTGCAGTGCCAGCATCGCTCAGGTAATATGTCTTTGCAAGAAGCTTCGGCTTTGCTATCATGTAAATTCAAACATACGGGCTCATGGAAGCTATGAAAAAAAGTGAAAGCCGCTTACAACTCCCTGTAACGCCGAATTGGAGCGCAGCTCTTGAGGAGGAGGAGGGAAGGGCGCTGGGGGGGGGGTTAGACTAACCAGGGGGGGGTTACGTGACCTTGGGGGGTCACCTGACCCCCAATGCCGATGACGTCATCACCGACGTCACTGATGACGTCATTAGTGACGTCACTGATGACTTCACCAGTGATGATGACGATGACGATGCGAATGTCGGTGACGTCATCAGTGACGTCGCTGACGACGTCATCAGTGATGATGACGATGACGATGCGAATGCCGGTGACGACATCAATGACGTCACTGATTTCGTCATCAGTGATGATGACGATGACGATGCGGATGTCGGTAACGTCACCGGCATCCACATCGTCATCGTCATCATCACCGATGACGTCACCGGCATCCACATCGTCATCGTCATCATCACTGATGACGTCACCGGCATCCGCATCGTCATCGTCATCATCACTGATGACGTCATCACTGATGACGTCACCGGCAACCACATCGTCATCATCACTGATGACGTCATCACTGATGACGTCACCGGCATCCACATCGTCATCATCACTGATGACGTCACCGGCATCCACATCGTCATCGTCACTGATGACGTCATCATCACTGATGTCATCATCACTGATGACGTCACCGGCATCCAAATCGTCATCGTCATCATCACTGATGACGTCACCAGCATCCACATCGTCATCATCACTTATGACGTCACCGGCATCCGCATCGTCATCGTCATCACTGATGATGACGATGACGATGTGGATGCCGGTGACGTCATCAGTGTCGATGACGTCATCGGGGGGTCACGCGACATCGGCGGGGGTCACGTGACCTCGGGGGGTCACGTGACCTCGAGGAGGGGGTCACGTGACCTCAGGGGAGTCACGTGACCTAGAGGAGGGGGTCACGTGACCTCAGGGGAGTCACGTAACCTCGAGGAGGGGGTCACGTGACCTCAGGGGAGTCACGTGACTTCGGGGGGTCACGTGACTTCGGGGGGGGTCACGTGCCTCCCCACGAAGTCACGTGACCCCGGTGGGAGGCTCGCGCGGTGCATTATGGGATATTTCCCATGATGCACCGCGCGGTTACGCCGACGGCGACGGCGACGGCGACGGCGACGCCGCTCAAGCCGGAAACGGGCCCCTAAGAGCTGCGCTCTAAAACGCAATGAAATAATAAAGCTGATTGGGACGCCGAGGCCGCGAGCTGCATAATTCCTTTTTATTATTATTTTTTTTTACTTTTTGTTATCGCGCGTCCACAGATGCGGACAGATGCTTGAATTCGAACGTGGCATGTGCAAAATCGAACGTTACAGCGCCACCTGGATAGTGCTGCCAGCATAACATGGTCGCGTCTTGCGGACGCGCTCGCGCCCCCTGCCTGAGAGCAACGGGTCTATTCAGCTGGAATCTCTCTCGCAGAAGACGCAACCGCATGAAAGAATGTACTTCTAGAGTCCGTTTCACTTCATTTCAAGACGCGGCGAAGGTAGCGCGCGAACACCTGGCTGCAAGAACATCGAGCATTGCGAGAGCACGCCCGCCGTTGCAGCAGTCAAATTATGAGCTCGTGCTGGGTGCTTCTTTGGCTCGGGCGCAAGCTAAGCTCATGGCCGACACCATTTCCAGCGTGCGTGCTGAAATGCGCGCGTTTCGCCTGCTTTCCAAGGCTGCAAACGCGACGTGCAGTGGCAATTTCAAGAGAGGAAAAAAGCGCGTGTACAGCGGTGTTGGTACAGCGGTCCGTGCACCCTCCCCCCTAGCATTGACTGCATTGGCGCAAAAAGCCAACCGCAGGTTTTCTTTTTTTTTTTTCTTTTTTTATGGAATACATGAGGAGAGGGGTGCGAGGGAGGGGGGTGGGGTGTCCCACCCCCCTCCCTCCCGGTGTCTTGCTCCTTGACCTCGCCGTCGCCCCCTCCCTCCTCTCTGGTCGGCTCTGTCACGTGACCAGAGAGAGGGTAGGGCAGGCTCCACGCTGATAAGCAAAGCCAGATCCGGCTGCGCGCGCGTTGACAGTCGCTT